AATGGGAAGGAAATCCAAAAAAGAGGGGATATACGTATACGTAGAGCTAATTCACTTTCCTGTACAGCAGAAAGAACTAACACAACACTATAAAGCAACCTATACTCCAATAAAAATTAATTTTTTAAAAAAGTTGAAGGTGTTCATTGCCAATGTATGTAGAAAATTGATGAAAGAAACTTTGCAATGAATATTTTGAAGAAATGAGAATTGAGGGTGGGAGATGGTGAAGGGTTTTTTTTTTTATGTCGGTCTGTCTATTTGATCTCTTACAATTAGCATGAATTTATTTTATAATAATAAAAAAGAATGATCAAGGGACTGAAGGTTTAGAATTCCTGTGATGCAAAGGGGTGCTAAGGTTTCTTACCAAGGTTAGTATTTCATCAACTTATTTACCTGCCCCAAATGGTGACGACCAAAGAGTATATAGCAGCAGTCTGTACCATGAAATATATGATTGAGAACTACCTCTGCTGGCCCCAACCCCCATATTCTGTCCTCTTTCTCTCCTCTTACATGGGTAAGAGAGAAAAAAATAAGGTACATAAAGGAAGAAGAATAAAATTCACTGGTAAATCTAAAGAATGGTGGCATGATGGGCTTGAACCCATCTGGGGTAGGTCTTCTGCCGGGCAGTTCCCAAGACTAGCCTTCATTTCTCTCTCCCTTCCTGCCTACTTCTCCCCTCAAGATACACATGCAGCTTGACTTTTCTCTGGCTACAATTATGGACAGCATATAATAAAATGTGTCACACTCACAGCTGAATAGAAATCATGGATATAGATTAAACAGAAGCTCTGCGTTTCTGAGGCAATACAGATTTCATCCTCTCTACCATGGGAAAATGACATTCCCCCATTTCCCTGCTGGTATCGACCTCAGAAGGTCAATGAAGCAAAGTTCTTTCCTATTACTTTTGGAGTTTCGTGCAGTAAGTTTGGTATCTCATTCAAAGACCCCACAGATTGTTAGGTTCCCTACAGCACAGAGCCCCTGAGCTGTGAGGAGAATAAAGCTAGTTACTTGGTCTCCTTGTTTAATCAGTGAGATACCTTTCCCTCTTGTATGCTGCGTCTTCTCTTACTAAAAATAAGAGAACAACACTGATGCCAGTCGGTTGAGTGGCTAAGTCAGCCAAGAAGGGTTTGACAGAAGATTCCTTTCTGCTCTGGCACAACGCCATTTATTTGAAAAGGTAGCTGGAGAGCATCTCTTCATTGAAATCAATGCAGATTGCTTAACACAGATATTGACAAAATGAAATAAAACCAAATGGGAAAAAAAACTTAGGGGATTTTAGACCTAGATAATCAATCTACATCCATATTTTTAAGCACACATATTTGAATTTTTTTACACAAATGCTGCTAAAACCTTCCTTTTAAAATTGCATTAAGGACAAAGCACAACATGAATCAGGAAGAAATTGCAGCAATTATCTCTCCTTGAGTGCACCTGAAGCAAGAAATAAAGTCTTGGCATGAAAAGATAATTAAAACACCTTAACAATTTGAGCAGAATAGGTTTGTTTAAAGAACAGGATATTTTGCCCCAGTCACTAGGGGTTTACCCTCACTCTTCATCTATATTATTTTTTTATTTCCATAAATTTAAAGCAAAGTCCACTTGCATGAATTATGAGGGTCACTGATTCATTCTGACAAAAAAATCAACAAAGAAGATGAATTTAATGGGTGGGAGCTTTCATGGCCAAGTCCCAAGTGAGCCAGGCTCCACGCTTTGAGGCTTTAGGGTGCCCTTATTAACCAATTATCAGGGAGGCTCAAGCCTATAAAAAAAACCTTCCTTCCTTCCTGCTTTTCCCTTAGGAAGGCCTTTTCTTTTTCCCACCCAAGACACACAGTAGTCTTGACCCCCAACTTCACAGGCCGGTCCATCTGCCAGAATGCAAACATTCGCCTGGGCAAGATTTTCCTAACGGGGACATCCGTCCTCCATCTGCTTTCACTGCCCGGCCAGGGTCACACTCGTACACTTCATGAAGAATCCTGGCACACAGTTACACTTGAAATGAGAAGAGTCCCGAGACATGGAAATTATTGTCATATCATCTCTTACCAGACACTGCAGTGACGCTTTTCTTTGCTTAAATCACCACGTCTGCACAGAAACCGAGCCGGATCCTCCCGGGATCTCTGTTGCCCTCTAGTTAGTTGTTGGATGTGTTTGATCACTGCGAGCAACTCTTAAGCAATGAAAATGCTGTTCAAGCACCGCAGCAGAAAAACACAAGCTGGTCTCAATTTTCTCTTGGGGTCAATATCTTTCAGGTGGGCTTTTCCCAGTTTCAGCCCTCCCTCCATAGATTGTTGTGGAGTGCTGGGGAAGAACATGTTGCTACAACTCCCCTAACTCCTGCCTCTGCCACGGGGGCCTGAGGAAGATTGTATCAGTGGCAGGCTGGCCTCTAGACCCTGAGGCGACAGGTGGGGATATTTCCCCTGCCATTCTCTCCCTCACTCACTCTGAAGTCACACTGGCCTCCTTTCTGTTCCTCAGACACCCAAAGCTCATTCCCACCTCATGGCCTTTGGAACGCTCTGCCCCCAGCTGGTCTCACGACCAGCTTCTCTGGTTCCTTGGATCTCGGCTCAGACGGCATCTCCTCAGGGAGGCCTTCCTTGCTCACCCATCTAAACAAGCAATCCCCACTTCTTGGGTTAAGTATCCCAGAAGCAAACCCTGAGACGCGGGTTCACATACAGGTGATTTGTTAGGGATGCACCGCCTGGGGAAACCAGTGAGGGAGGGGCAGGGACACAGGATGAGACATCAGAACAAGCCAGCCGAGGGTGTGAATTGAGGCAGAGTCCCGGCCTCAGCCTGATCCCACAGGAGCTCTGGTGTCCATTAGGCCTGAGAGTTTGCCTGGACTCGTTGCAAGGGAGCTGGGCTTGCACACCCCTGCACCTGTCAGTCATTGGGTAAAGCTGGCTGGAGAAGAGTCCTGTGAACAGAAACGCCCAGCACTCCTAGCTCTTGCACCTGCCTATGAAGTGACTCCAGAAACACAAAGGCAGACCTTTGAAGAGAGTCCCGGGTGCGGGTTGTGTGAGGGCAAATGCTCAGAAGCAGGGCATGGGCACACAGACCCAGCAAATGCGCCGACGGCATCCACTCACCCTCCAACCCCACCATTCTCAAATACACAGCCTTGCTTTATTTTCTTAAGTGCCCTTAGCGCTATCTGAGATTCTCTCGTTTATAAACATGTTTACTTACTGTCTGTCTTCCCAGCTAGAAAACGGTCTCCATGAGAACAAAGATCCATCTGTCTTGTTCACTGCCCACCCCCAGGGGTAGAACCAGTGCCTGGAACACAGAGGATGCTCAACAAATATTTGTTGAATAAATGAATGAACCAGGCTGACACACTCTGACATGCTACACAACAGCCTGGGACCCAGAGGAGGCACTAACCCTTGGACTCTGTCCTGGAAGTCAGAGGGAAACTGTGATAGAGTGAAATAAGCACAGGATCTGGAGTCCATAAACTTGGCTTTAGTAGCCATGTGAACTCAGGCAAGTGAGGCCGCTATGCCTCCTTGGCCCCAGTTTTCTCAGGTGTATAGTAAAGGCGAGTGTCTACAGACTTAACTACAAAGATATTTGTCACACTGTTGTTTATTACAGCTAATCATTGGAAAGAGCCTGAACATCCAACGCTGGGAGATTAATCATACCCACACAATAAAATACAAAAGAAACCACAGAAATGATGCCATGAAAATACTATTTAACGACATGCAAAGATTTCCAAAATATATTATTAGGTGACAAAACAGTGCCTTCCAAAACAGTATATACAGTACAACTTTATCTTAATGTATTTTATGTGTTTGTTTCAACATACATTAAAAACTAGAAGAATATACATTCAAATATTTATGGTGGAGTGAGTGGAGAGATTATGGGTTATTTTTACTTCCTCCTTTCATCTTGTCTATGTTTTCTGAACTTTTCAAAGTAAAGTATATTACTTTTGTAAGTGGAGAAAGTTATTTTTTAATTGCTTTTTTATAATACCAAAATAATCTCCAAGCACTGTTCCAACCTTGTTTATTCTTAGGAGAACAGTTTGTGATGCTGTGGAAAGAACATGAGACAGGTTCTAGTTCACCCTCTGATCCCTGTTAACCAAGTTGCAGGGGGAAGGGTGATGGGGAGGGTGGACAGTGGTTAGGAAACTTTGAAACATGCATCTCTCTGGGTTCAGCTTCCTCATCTGTAAAATCAGCACGTCTAACAGATGTTGCCTTCAGAACACGAAGATGTACATTGCATAAAAGAGCAAGCAGTACACATGTTATGTCCCACAGTTCATGCTCCCGGGATAGAGGGATTACTGGCTCTTTGGATTTGAACTTAGTCATTCTGGCTGACTCTGTTACAGTAAATACACAGTAAGAACTCCTGGTCAGAAGGACCCCATAGGATGAGGCATTCTAAGCACCTGTCACCTGCTTGAACACAGCAGTAAAATGTTTGTTGTCCCCTAATGGGGCCAGGTCCTCCCTAAAAGCTCCCTCATGGGTAACCAATAGCAGAGCTGTTGCTCTTACTTGATAAATTTGTGACTGAGAGTTGAGTGCAGAAAGTCTGAGGCTGATAATTAATTACCTCTTTTTCTTCTCTGACTTCTGAACCAACTAAGAAAGAGACAGAAAAATAATGGAGGATCAACTTGTCAGTCTGATTACTCACCAGCTTGATTACTGATACGGAGAAGAGAACTGGGGTCTGGAGTCACAACTGGGCTTTGAATCCTTTTCCCTGAGCATTGAATTACCAACCCCTAACCATAGAGACACAGTGCCCCAAGGGGAGCAGTCTACAGGAAGGAGCAGCAAGACGTGCTTCCGAAAGAGAAAAGGGAGACTTGGCCCACGATTCACACCCACTTCCCAGTCTCAACAACCATATAGGATTGGGGAGGAGTGAGTGAGGGTGATAGAGAGAAGGTTAGAACTTACCTTTCCATTATTTTCCTTCTTGGAGTCAGATGTTCCTTCTTGAAATAGAATGTAATCTCCCCAAGGATTTCTCTATTTTGTTCACTGCTGAGTCCCAAGTCCATAGATCTCAGTAAATACCCACTGAAGAATAGAAACATGAGAACTACGGAATAGGATTTTCCCTAACAGTAAGTTCTTTGAAAGTATTTCTACAGCTCAACGAGCTATCCATTTGTTCAATTGAAAGTACTAGATATAAAAGAGCGGCATTGTCTGTCCTTGTTGAAGGGGGTTTTGGTGACTTAAAAGAGTGGTCAAAGCACCCAGTACACACACTGAGGGGTCTTGGAGAGGCTGTAGGAAGAAGCTCATTTCACCCCCAAGCCATTAAACTGGGTTCTACTTCAGGATTAGGCAAAAGATAACAAGTTATCAAATCTTCCAGACCCCACTTTTCTCATTCACAAAATGGCCCCTACTAGTTTTACCTTTCTTAGAGTCTAGATAACAAAGACTAAGAATGGGTATTCGTAGAGTGGTGTACCTATCCAATCAGTTCTAGGGTTCATATCCTTACAGTTCAGGTGGTGTCCTATTTATTGCTATTACTAATACTTTACCATGTCCATATATACTGTTTCTTCCAGGGATTTAAACCAACTGAACAAATTTCTGTACAATCATAATAATTACTAATTCATTCCTGTATTCCAAATGCTTTGCGCTAGTTTCACGAAGAAAAAAAATCCAATCTAAAATTAGGATTTTGATTTTGAAAGTAATGATATTAAAGCCAATTCTTAATATCAAAAACTGATTTAGAAATAAGTTTGAATTAAATCAGCAGTATGTGTACTTGGGAAAAATGTGGAGAATTATGAAAGCATCTCTGCAAAGATTTGTATATTAAGCTTCAATTTTGTTCTTTACTGTATCTCTGAATTACAGACATGCTGAATGCAGACCTCAGTTTCAAAGGACAATTTTTAAACTTAAAGAACATGACCATGAAACTACCAGCTAGAAGTAGGCATGGATCAGATGTATTTTTCTTTATAAAGGCTGTTACAGCCAGACAACGGGGATGAGGCTACAGAGACAGAGTTTAAAGCTCTTATAGAATATAGGCATATTTATAATGGTGTCCTCCAAGTTAATATTCTAAATCAGTTGGAAAACATCCTGCGATGTGACTTTTGTGACCCAGAAAATAGCTCCCATCTCTAACCCTTCTGCAAAAACTGACAGCTCCGTTGGTTCAGATCTTCTTTCATTACATTAGACCAGTGTCTCTCAGTTAGGGGGGGATTTTGAGTCTCTCCTTCCCCAGGGGACATTTGGCAATGTCTGGGATATTTTTTGGTTTTTAGAAATAGGGGAGGGTGTGCTCCTGGCATCTGGAATAGAGGCCAGGGCTGCTGCTAAGCATCCTACAATGCACAGGACAGTCCCCTACCACAAAGAATTATCTTTCCCGACGTGTCAATAATGCCACGATTGGCAAACTCTGCACTAGACTCCTTTTTTAATAATTTTTTAAAATTAATTAGATTATTTATTCATTTATTTTTGGCTGCGTTGGGTCTTCGTTGCTGCGCGTGGGCTTTCTCTAGTTGCGGCAATCCGGGGCTACTCTTCGTTGTGGTGTGTGGGCTTTTCATTGCGGTGGCTTCTCTGTTGCGGAGCACGGGCTCTAGGCGCGCAGGCTTCAGTAGCTGTGGCACGCAGGCTCAGTAGTTGTGGCTCACGGGCTTAGTTGCTCCGTGGCATGTGGGATCTTCCCGGACCAGGGCTTGAACCCGTGTCTCCTGAATTGGCAGGTGGATTCTTAACCACTGCACCACCAGGGAAGCCCTGCACTAGACTCTTAATATTGAGCAATCTTCTGGATCTCTGCTGTGGAATGACTATGGGGAGATCCATGGAAGAAATATGTCTTCTGTTGAGCCTTAAAAAGATGGGCATGATTTGGGTAAGTGGAGGGCCATTCCAGGAGGAAATTTCAATGGAGAAAAGGGGGTCCATATGCAGGCACATACTTGAAATGTTGAAGGAACACTGTTCAAGCCATCCTATCTTTAACGGAGAGCCCATATTGAGATATGATAAGACATGACACAGTGATGCTGGATTTGGGAAGACCTTAAGTGTATAACATTAAAGAATTGAGGTCTACCCTTATATTTAGTAGTGCAAAATTGACACCTCTAAAGTAGGAAATGAATATATATTTTACCCACTTTTGAAATGCAGCTGCCCTGAACCAGGTCCAGGAAATTCAGAATGTGTAGTCCAGTTTAGATTTGAAAAGACAGAAGACAGAAAGGTCACTTACTAGTTTATCATAAATAACCAAATATACGAGCCCAAATGATAGTAGTGACGGCAGAATTAAAAGAAAGGGACAAGAAAAAAAGGAGATATCACAAAGAATGAAAGATCTGGCTCTTCCTCTGGGAGTTTGGTGATGATGGTAAATGAAGGAATTCGGAGATGGGAAGCTGGGACTCTGAGAACCAGGAATATACTGAAGCTGAAGGTCTGGGCAGGAGGGGGGGTCAACAACCAGACAGGTGATAAAGGGTAAAGAAGTGCATCTGAGTCAGAAATCAGAGAAATGCATCATCACGTCAGATCCTAGCTAGGCAGACAGCAATAAATTATCGTCTCCCCAACATCACACGCACATTCTTCCTTCGGAACCTTTTCCCATTAAATTCTCATCTGTAATGCTCTCTCCCCTCTCTCTCCACTTCCCAATAAGACCCACCTTGGAGGCCAGTTAAAGAAAGACACATCTTTCGTATTGATACTCTCCTTGTCACCGCAGAGCAAGAATACAGAAGATGGTCCAATATTCAATCTTGCATGGTACAAAAAGACATGAGCCTGAGGAGACATGAATATTTACAGATGAGAGATACAGCCTAGAGCAGGCAGGGGCAGAAATCCAGCAGCCAAACAGTTCAATACTAAGAAAACCCAGATGCCAAAGACAGGCAGCCAGGGAACTCTCAAGCTGACAGAGGGGAAAACAAAAGGGTACAATAGGAGGTTATGTTTAGTGACAAAGAGGGGAAAAAATGTCAAGGGGAGTGTGGTGAACAGTCCAGTGGGATGCTGTGGTCTGCTTGAGAACATGATCTGCAGAGTCAGACAGACGAGGCTCAGAGTCGGCTCCCTGGTCCACTTACTGTGAGATCACCAGCACCTCACTTAACTTTCCAGAGCCTGTTTGCTGCGCTGTAAAATGGAGAAAAATATGTCCGCCTCACGGGACTGTTGTGGTTACATAAGATGACTGATGAGATGAGATGTGACTAAATGAAATCAAATGATACATATGCAGCTGGAAAAATGTTTCAAATTTATTAAGGTGATTTTCTCTTTTGCCTTTGATGACACAGCCTTTGTCCTAATCCACTGCTTCTCAAATTTTGATGTTCACACTTACCACCTGAAGATTTTGTTAAAGTGCAGATTCTGGTTCAGTGGAACTGGGTAGAGTCTACGTTACACACTCCTGACAAACTCTGCTAGAGATGCTGCTGCTGCATAGATCACACTTTAGCAGCAAGACTGCAGGGTGCCCGAGGCATTCGACTGATGGGGATTTGTTGCAGGTGAAGGTTTGTGACAGAAGGGATGCAAAAGTAAGACTGAGATAATATTCAACTTCTGTTCTTCAAAACTAGGATTCTGCAATAAGACTGTAGATGTGTAAGCAGGTTCAGGACTAGACCCTAGTTTTATGTAAATGGCGTCCAGATTAAAGAGGAAGGGGAGACAGCCAACTTCATTCCAGGACCAGAGGATTGTGGGGAGAGGAAGCTGGAGGGGAGTAGCAGAGCAAAGTGGGGAGATGCATGCTTCAGGACTCCTCTCTCCGGGCTTTACCCCAGAGAGGGAGAGGTGCATGCAATGAATGAGGGTAGTCCTGAGGGAAAGATTTAGCTTTCCCAAGCTGCTCTGGAATTCCATGTTGCTTTGGTAGGTTTCTACGACAGCTGAGATTCTGCCTTGGAAGCTATCCAGGGAGGATCTCCATGACAGTGGTGAAAGACTCCAAAGCCGACCTCCTGAGCTGGGACCAAATGGGGGTTACAGCAGATCTCAAAGGAGTTTCTCAATCAGCTAGACTGGAGGGAGACTAAGTCAGCCAGGGAAAAGGACCACAGGCTGCCCAGGGCAAGAGAGAACAGCCACGGACTTTAGCCACCTATGTCACCAGATCAAACAGGTGGACAAGGGACATTGGCCAGGAGGCCAGAAGAGAAAAGGACATCCCCTGTAAGGACCCTGGTTCTTCCACGTTGCCCTGGGGTTACGGAAAGCTGCCCCTCCCTGCATATCCCTAGAAAAGGAGCAGCAGAGGGAGAGAGGTTCTCTGAGAAGCTGAGCATTTTAATCCAACAAGGACTCCATGCTACCTAAGGGAACTATTTAATTGGACGAAGTCTGAGATTGATTTGGACAGTTAAATCATTTGAGTTGGGGCTTGAAAAGAAGGCCAAACTTCTTAGAGATAAAATAAAGATATTACATTTTTCTCTAAACAACCAAGTTATACAGTGAGTTAAGTTTACAACCACACTACAAATATATAAAGTACTTAGCAACGTGTCTGCCATATAGAAAGTGATCAATAAACGGTAACCAGGTTAAACAGGTTAAGTAAGAACTAAGAAAAGGCCACTGGATCTGCCAGTTAAGAAGCTATCATTCCCTTTTGAGAGAGCAGTTTCAGCAAAGGATGGGGATGAAAAGTAGCCACAGAGGATGCTCATTCTGACCATGAAAGCCATTATGGCCAACATTCTACAACACTCAGCACAGCTTTCATTTTACGTAGAGACCAGAAGGGGTGTGAATTGAGTAAAGATGAAGCTGACCTTCCCAGGTCAAGGCTCAAGATTATCATCCACTGAGTGGAAGTAACCCTGAAGGGAGTTTAAATCCTATTTCCGGAAATTGGCTCCAAAGCAATTTTCTTGATGAAATGGGTTTTTTGCTAAGTGTGAGATGGCAGATAAATATGAAAAAATGTTACATATTCCAAAGCGATAGCCAAGAATTCTACCTTTAAAAACAATCCTTAAAAGATTGGTTCATTCTACTTACCCCACAATTGTGGTTTTAAAGACGAGGCTTGCACCACCCCACAGTCTTGATTTTCTCAAAGCTCTCTCATCTTTCTTATCTCAGATAAAGGCTGCTTTCGCACATGCTCCCAGGCATAGAGGTTTTCTGATGACCAGTCCATAGTTCTGCTACCTCTCCCTGAGCGGTGCAGGTCATTTATTCATCAGCAGAGTAGTCACTCCTAGAGAAATTGTGAAATAGGGAGGCTGGTCCTACCACCACACTTATCTCTCTGGGATCATGCAAGCTCATTTTGCCATCTTTCCAACCTCACCAATACACAAGGCCCTCAGTCCATCCCATGATTGCCTAGGTGTCTCCTCTCCCAAATTCTCTTACACAACTGCTCCCCTTCCCCAAACTCAAACTGCGCCCAAGCCTGCCCTTATCTTTCTTTTCTTTCTCCTCCTCTCAAAATTGACTAGTCCTTTGTTCTGTGATCTCAGGTCCCACTCCCTTCCAGGGACAAGCTGATAATGTCTTTCAGATGACCTGGCATCATTATTCATAAGTAGCTTTGGTTACCTTGTCAAAATACATAATATCACATGAAAAGATGCTGAGCTTGATTATTCATTAGGAAAATGCAAATCAAAACCACAGTGAGATACCACCTCATACCTACTAAGATGATTCTCATCAAAAATGTGGAAAATAACAAGGATAACAAGTGGTGGCGAGGATGTAGAGATTGGAACCCTTGTACATTGCTGCTAGGAATCTAAAATGTTGCAGCTGCTGTGCAAAAACAGTTTGGCGGCTCTTCAAAAATTTAAACATAGAATTACAATATGACTCAGCAATTCCACTCCTAAATATATAACCAAAAGAATTGAAACTAGGTACTCAAACTAGTACTTGTACACAAATATTCAAAGAAACAATATGTACAATAGCTGAAAGGTAGAAACACCCAAATGTCCACCAACAAATGGATAAACAAATTGTGTTATATCCATACAATAGAATACTGTTCAGCTGTTAAAAAAAAAAAACGTGAAGCACTGATACAGGCTACAACAATGTGGATGAACCTTGGAAACATTACACTAAGTCAAAGAAGCCAGACACAAAACTCACATATTGTATGATTTCATTGGTATGAAATATTCAGAATAGGTAAATAGAGACAGACTGCAGAGGGGAGTCTGGGGGAAAAGCAGGGTAAGGAGTAACTGCTTAATGACATGAGGTTTTACTTTGGAGTGAGAGAAGTGTTTTGGAACTTGGTAGAGGTAATGGTTACACAATACTGTGTATGTACTAAACACCACTGGATGGTTCACTTTAAAATGGTTAATTTTTGAGTTATTTGTAGTGAGGTGGATGGACCTAGAGTCTGTCATACAGAGTGAAGTAAGTCAGAAAGAGAAAAACAAATACCGTATGCTAACACATATATATATGAAATCTAAAAAAAAAAAAAAAAAGGTCATGAAGAACCTAGGGGCAAGACGGGAATAAAGACACAGACCTACTAGAGAATGGACTTGAGGATATGGGGAGGGGGAAGGGTAAGCTGGGACAAAGTGAGAGAGTGGCATGGACATATATACACTACCAAACGTAAAATCGATAGCTAGTGGGAAGCAGCCACATAGCACAGGGAGATCAGCTCGGTGCTTTGTGACCACCTAGAGGGGTGGGATAGGGAGAGTGGGAGGGAGGGAGATGCAAGAGGGAAGAGATATGGGTATATATGTATATGTATAGCTGATTCACTTTGTTATAAAGCAGAAACTAACACACCATTGTAAAGTAATTATACTCCAATAAAGATGTTTAAAAAAATAAATAAATAAAATGGTTAATTTTACATTAGGTGAATTTCACCTCGATTTGTTTAAAAATGCTCATGTGAGCTTAAGACCATTAAAATGTAACCCAGAGCGAGAATACACGGCCTATAAACATCTTGAGAATAGAGGTTATATCTCATATGATAATTTTTTTTTTTAATACGCTGAGGCACTCTCGTCTATATTGCTTCTTTTTGCCTTGCAGAAAGAATTACCATGCCCTCAGTTCCTGCTGCAGCCGCCAACAGTTTTTGCATACCACTGACAATATTAAAGACACCACGTACGGGAACTGAGTGCCATTTTCAAGTTACCTAACTGTCGTCTATACAGCTGCTATTTACTGAAGACTTCGGCAAAGAGCAGTGGGATTCTCACCCTATTCCTGATGTGATTTTTAATTTCCCGCTATTCTCCAATCTCCTTTCATTAAGTCCAGTCCTCCCATGCACGAGTTTGTACCCTTTCCAAAAGGAGAGACCTGATGTCACGTGCTGTGATATCTATGATTTTTCCAGCTCCTGTATTTCTTTCTTTCTCTGTTGTAGCTAATAGCTTCACCACATGGTGCTTCAGCCTGGCAAACAGCAGTGCCCGTTCCAGTGAGCTTCCTCTCTGTCCCGCTCACGCTGCCCTGGGTTACTGTAGTTTGCCATGATGCAGCAGGATTCTTCCCCATCCTGCCACTTCCCCGGCTCCTCTTCTTTCCCCACTGCCTCTGCACATCCCAGAGTTGGGTGTCCCAGCCCCAGTGTCTGTATGGACCATAGACAGACCCAGATGAGCTTCTTCCCTACTACCAATGCTGGTTTTGATTCTTAAATCTTGGAAACGTGCCAGATTTGCTGAAGGATATTGGGGACGTGAATATCCCCAGTGGTTCTTCCTGTCATGGAGTCCTTGGCAGCAACTCCCTTCTTCCTTCCCTCTGGGCCTTACTTCCCTTCTGAGGGGGAACTGACGATAGGTTCATAAACACCTGGTTTCTTTCTACTCTCCTGGACACACCGATGGGCAAGTCAACAGGCAGCTACCACACTCACGATGGCTCCAGCACATGACTCAGCACATTTCCTCTGATGCACAGCTCACTCCCCTCCCCAGATGAGCTCAAGGTACATTGTCCTCTGCACAGACATCCCCCAAGCTCCGCACCAGTTTCTGTCTCACTCTTGTGGTGGCTGCAAAGTCAACACTGTTTTTGTTCCTCCAGAGTCATCCCTATGTCGCCAAGTACCAGGCTACCAACGCTCAATGTTCTTCTACCTCTACTGATGCAAGTATTCGATTTCTACCAAGAAAACGTGAACACAAATATTCCCAGATATCCATAACCACAAACAAAGCCTCTTATCAGTGTCCTTTCACATGCATACATATGAGTTAACCCAGTAATTTCTCCCACGTTGAAAATATAGCTTTTCTTCCTGAATAGTCCTATCAAGCTCTCCCATTCTTGACAAACTTTTACGTATTTCTTGCTTCCTAATAAAAAGTATCCAAACTTTCCCCCATCCCCACTGCTTGCATTTCCCTCACTCCTCTCTTCTTAATCAGGGCTGCCTACCTTCTCATCTCACATTCATTATTTACTCTCCAAAACTGTGCTTTTTGAGGCTTTTACAACACACCACCCAGCTAAGGTGGCCACTTGCTGAAAGCCATGCATCTACAAATAGGTCATGAGTTCATGAATTTCCAGAGAGAACAGTCCAGAGACCATAAAGCTACTATTTCTGCTTTGAGTGAATGAATTGTGAATTCCCACTGTGATACAAAAGGACGATTAAGAGGCAGCTGTTGTCATCACGGTCCCTTTAGTAGGTGAGAAAACTGGGGTTCAGATAAATGAAGTGCATTGTCCAGATGTTCAGAGCTGATAAATGGCCGACTGGACCTCAACCCCCAGGCTGTGGACATAACCATGATGCCAACCTGCCATTATAGCCAAGTTTTCCTGCCCCAATTGCAGCCTCACCAACAAGGCTGTCGCTAGTAATTTGGCTTCCTTTCTGGCTTTCCTCAAGGTTTAGAATCTACTAAGCAGCCAAAAAGAATATTGGACTACATTTAACCACTACATTTCTCTCTCTGAATTAACAAACTGGCATCTTCTAAATTAAAGGAACAGAAAGTCGATTTATCCTAATCTTTAAAACTTTTCCAAAGTATTTCTGCCCATTAACATCCAAGACAAATGAGTTTTACTTCAAAGTCTCTTTTTTTTAAATTTTATTTGATTTATTTTTTTATACAGCAGGTTCTTATTAGTTATCCAATTTATACATTAGTGCATATGTGTCAAAGTCTCACCATATTCCAAAGCTCTTTTTGTATGTGTTCTAGTAATTCCTCGCTGCAATGTGGTATTTAGTCATTCCTCGTTACACTGCTGTATACATTGGAGTAATGAACGCTGGGTACCACAGCAGCTCTGAATTACAAAGGCTTATTTCTCTCACATAGGATGGTATGATGCAGAGCCCACCTGCTCTCCATCCTGTAGCTACTACATCTGGAATTTGTGACCTTCGAGCTCACCACATGCATATATTTAAGGACCAGGCCTCAGAGCAGCTTGAATCATTTCCAACAATATTCCATTGGCCAGAACCTGATAACCGGACCCCCAAACATACAAGGGAGGCAGGAAAATGTACAGAAGCACATGGATATTTGAGTACAGACTCTGCTATAACACTTCATTTATGTTGAGCACAGAAAATTGAAAGATACAAGGAAAGAATAAAAAAGAAAAAATCTCTCATCTTAAATCTCATTCACTGAGACTGTTAAATTTTCCAGGCATTTGTATATTTATATATAGATACAGATATATAAAGGATAGAGAGAGAGAAAGAGAGATGGCATCACATCAAACACAAGCTCTTTTTTTTAAACGTCTTTATTGGAGTATAATTGCTTTACAATGGTGTGTTAGTTTCTGCTTTATAACAAAGTGAATCAGCTATACATATACATATATCCCCATATCTCCTCCCTCTTGCATCTCCCTCCTACCCTCCCAATCCCACCCCTCTAGGTGGTCACCAAGCACGGAGCTGATCTCCCTGTGCTATGCGGCTGCTTCCCACTAGCTATCTATTTTACATTTGGTAGTGTATATATGTCCATGCCACTCTCTCACTTTGTCCCAGCTTACCCTTCCCCCTCCCCATGTCCTCAAGTCCATTCTCTATGTTTACATCTTTATTCCTGTCCTGTCCCTAGGTTCTTCAGAACCATTTTTTTTTTTTTAGATTCCATGTATATGTGTTAGCATATGGTATTTGTTTCTCTCTTTCTGACTTACTTCACTCTGTATGACAGACTCTAGGTCCATCCACCTCAATACAAATAACTCAATTTCATTTCTTTTTATGGCTGAGTAATATTCTATTGTATATATGTGCCACATCTTCTCTATGCATTCATCTGTCAATGGACACTTAGGTTGCTTCCATGTCCAGGCTATTGTAAATAGAGCTGCAATGAACATTGTGGTACATGGCTCTTTTTGAATTATGGCTTTCTCAGGGTATATGACCAGTAGTGGGATTGCTGGGTCGTATGGTAGTTCTATTTTTAGTTTTTTAAGGAACCTCCATACTGTTCTCCATAGTGGCTGTATCAATTTACATTCCCACCAACAGTGCAAGAGGGTTCCCTTTTCTCCATACCCTCTCCAGCATTTATTGTTTCTAGATTTTTTGATGATGGCCATTCTGACTGGTGTGAGGTGATACCTCATTGTAGTTTTGATCTGCATTTCTCTAATGATTAATGATGTTGAGCATTCTTTCATGTGTTT